GATACATTTCAAAACATGATCCTAACGTAATTTTACTACAAAAAAAAACAAAACAAAAAAAACCGCCAATGTTTCTGAAACGTTTTGTTTCAATTTAAATGTACAAATTATGTTGTTTTAAATCCAATGTTAAGTGTACCAAAGAAAAAAATGGATTTGTTTATAGATCTGATGTTGTATAAATGTTCATAAAACATTGCAACGGATATGCGAAAAATGTCATAACTTTTCTGCAACATTACGAAAAGTATTACGTGAAAACAGCGTCAAGCATTAAAGTAGTTTAGGATAAAAACATTATCACAACCTGTTTACAACATAGTTATATGTTGTACCAATCATTAGCCATGCCCAGTTGGGTGTGGTCACATGATTATATCATTAAAACCCAATTATCTAAAGACGTTTACACACTAGCATTGATATAAATCTAGTCCAATGAAACACATACAGTGTCATCTTCACACATGGAATTGAGGCCATTGCTAAGTTGTCCATTAAGAGCCTTGATTTCCTCTTCCTGTTAAAACTCTCCAGGTGGTGACAGCCAATCAATGACAGCGATAGCTCTTAAGTCCGAATGTGTCAAAAAACACTTCACACCCAATCAAATTATGGCCGCGGGACGACACGAGAGCGGATTGAGTTCAGCTCGTAGCAGAATCGGTGTCATTTTACATTGTGATCATTGTGAGGTGTTTCAGAATGACTCAATTTCAGGTTCAATTTGTGCAAAATGAATTAGTCTATTAGACTTCAGCTCACCATCTGAGCCACACACATGAACGATGCCTCAAATTATCCTGCCGCACAATAGAAATCTGACAAACTCCAATAGACTTACATTAAAGGAGGGACTCAAGTTATATCTAGACACCAGAGGGGGGAAGAAAACACCTAGCAACCACCCACAACACCCTAGCAACTGAACAGCCACACCTTGGTAATCACCCACAACATCATACCAACTGCCTAGCAATGCCCTAGTAACTCTACAGAGCACTAGATATATCCAGCAACCACCCATAAAACCTTACTAATTATATAACAATTACTTAGCAACAGCCCAAAAAACCTTAGCAACCACCCAAACACCCTAGAGACTGCATAGCAAATAGCACCAGTACAACAATACAGAACACCCTAGCGAAAGGCGTAGGTTTGATTTTGGCATTGGTGGCAATGTAACGGCAAACAACAGACGTTTAAATGTTTAATCAAAATTATTGCAAGGGACAATTTAGTAGTCGCTGGATATTGGTAGGGGACATATCAAAGAAATACATACTAAAACTCTGCCCTAGCAACCACCTATGTAACCACCCATAAAACCTAAAGTGCATAACTATTCCTTGGCAACAAACCATAACACCTTGGAAACCACCTAGTAATAACCTAGCAACCACTTTTAATTCCCTAACAACTGTACAGCGATGCCCTGACAACTAAGAACCCCGTAGATACATCCAAGCCACAATGTAGCAATTACATAACATCCTAGCAACCACCTATGTAACCACCCATAAAACCCAAACTGCAAAGCTATTGGACTTTTAATACCCTAGCAACTACACAGCAATGATCTGATAACACCCTAGCAACGTCCTAGCCACAATGTAGCAATGCCATCCAAGCTATTCCTTGTCACCAAACCACAACACCTGGGAAACCACCTAGTAACAGCAACCACTTTTAACACCCTAACAACCACCCTAATAATCATCTTGCAACAAAAATAACACACTGCCGTATGCATAGCAACACCTATCAATACAGAAGACCCTAGCAACCACCTATGTAACAATAGCCAAGCAACCACTATAGAAATTGCATAGCAACACCTTAGCAACGCCCTGGCAACCACAGGTTAATTAGGTGGGAAAAAATACATACTAAAACTCTGCCCTAGCAACCACCTATGTAACCACCCATAAAACCGAAAGTGCATAACTATTCCTTGTCAACAAACCATAACAGCTTAGAAACCACCTAGTAATACCCTAGCAACCAATTTGAATACCCTAACAACTGTATAGCAATGCCCTAACAACTAAGAACCCCGTAGATACATCCTAGCCACAATGTAGCAATTACATAACATCCTAGCAACCACCTCTGCAACCACCCATAAAACCTAAACTGCATAGCTATTACACTTTTAATACCCTAGCAACTACACAGCAATGATCTGATAACACCCTAGCAACGTCCTAGCCACAAAGTAGCAATGACATACTAGCAATTCTTTGGCACCAAACCACAACACCTGGGAAACCACCTAGTAACAGCAACCACTTTTAACACCCTAACAATCATATAGCAACCAATATAACACTCTGTCACATGCATAGCAACACCTATCAATACTGAAGACCATAGCAACCACCTACGTAACAATAGCCAAGCAACTACCATAGAAATTGCATAGCAACACCTTAGCAACGCCCTGGCAACCAGAGTTTAATTAGGTGGGGAAAAATATATATTAAAACTCTGCCAGCTGGGTAGCAACCCCTAACAATACAGAAGACCCTAGCAACCACCTATAATAATACTGTAGAACCACAACAGAAATTGCACCCTGGCAACCAGAGTTCAATTAGGAGGGAAAATCTCCATATTAAAACCTAGTTTCTGGGAGCACAGGCACGCGAGTGTAAGTGGTTGTTCTCCAGAGGTCAGAGATGACATTGTGAAGCTCCTCGAGCCACAGGATTGTTTGCAGGCCGCTGGATGAGAGAAACTGAAGATGTAATTTGGGCTTGGAAATCTTCAGTGAGTCTCGGATGGAGCCCGCGGCGAGTAGCGGGGAGCGGGAGCGCGTGCATGTGTGTGTTTACCCGCCAGGACGCTCATCTTCCCTACCTCTCGTCGAGCTAATGGCAGCTGGAATCACGCAGCAAGTGCTCGGGCCCCTGAGAGAGAGAATAAACCTGCTGGGAGGAGAGAGAGAGGGGGGCCCTCGCTGTTTCAAACAAGAGGGCAGAGGAGGTGAGCCAAAACACACGGCGAAACCTGTTAATATTCCTCCCGAAACTCCACAACGCCTCACGTGCCGAGTGTCTCTTCATTTTCATTACATTTTATTATCTGAAACACAAGAGTAATAAACCTGCTGGGAAGAGAGAGAGAGGGGGGCCCTCGCTGTTTCAAACAAGAGGGCAGAGGAGGTGAGCCAAAACACACGGCGAAACCTGTTAATATTCCTCCCGAAGCTCCACAACGCCTCACGTGCCGAGTGTCTCTTCATTGTCATTACATTTTATTATCTGAAACACAAGAGTTCAATTTTATGAAAGAAAGTGAAGTGATCAGGCAGGAGACCTGTTTTATAATATACTACAAACTTAAAAGATTAAAAAACAAGTTATAACAAGGTAAGTTGAGTAATTGGGGAATTTTAAAGCAATTAAAAAAATAAATAAATGCATAAATAATATACTAAATAAAAAATATATATTAATAATAAAATTAGGCTATTATTAATATTATTGCTCACACAATACTAGTGACAACAAACAAACACAATAAAATAATGTCTAATAAAAGTGATATCAAATGCATCTAGTGGTGTGTTGTATTAATTAAAGGAACAGTGCATCCAAACATGAAAACTCTCATCATTTATTTTACTCACCATCGTGTCAGTCCGGATTTAATGTTTAAAGGCTTCTGGGTAAAAGGCAAATGCAACAGAATTTCACTATCAACAAGAAAACTATATATATATATATATATATACCACTGTAAATACATGAGCAAAACTCTGGACTATTAATTTATAAATAAAAGTATAAACTTGTGTAAAAAGTGTAAACACAATCAGTAATCTGCATAATGCATTAAATCCTTATGGAGAATATCGCCTTTAGAGGCCCTTCGTAGGCCTAACTTGGGAACAGGAGCCCTCCGTGGGCTAAACTCGGGAACAGGAGCCCACTCTGGGCTGGATTCAGGGACTGGGAAGCACTTACGTGGAGCTGGCACTAGAGGGTGCTCTGGAGGAACAGGCACAGCAAGGCGCTTTTGAGGAGCTGGCACAGGAGCGAACTCAGGGGCTGGAGCCTACACTGGAGCGAGCTTTGGGGCTGGAGCCGACCACCTTCTCCTTAGATTCCCCTCTAGGTTCGGGGTTGAGTGAGCCGCGGCCAGCGGGCTTGACTTCGGAGCGGCCGGCGGGCTTGATGGCGGCTGGTTCTGGCTCGGGCCCAGACACTCACCAGACACCGTTAGATCGCTTCCCTCCAGCATAGTCCCTTGGTGTCTGGGAGGTCCACGGGGCGATGGTAGTTGGCCCCGAGCCAGAACAGAGAATTGATGGTGAAAGGAGCGGCGATTTCCATGATTGCGGGGAGAAACAAACAGGAAACAAAAAGACTTTTCAAAACGAAAACAAAACAGGGAGAAGGGGCGCCGCTTACTTTTCTGTATCGGTCCGGTTTTCTGTCACGGTGTGCCTACGGTGAGGAGCGAGGAACGAGCAGGAGAATCAGGATTAACAGTCTTTATTGAAATCACATGTAGGACATGGGGATCGATGTTCAAAACCGGACAGAGAACTCAAAACAGGAAACATCTTAAATACACAAGACATGAGGAGGGAAAGACGAAAAACACCTGGGATTAATAAACATAATAGGAACAGGAAACAGGAAGGACATACCATGGACATTACCTGGAGCACGTGGGGGAGCAAAACACACACGAAACACTGAACAGAGTCTGACAGTACCATTATTAAATTATTATTGAAAGTTGCTTTATTTTTTTCAGCTTTATATTGTTTCTTTCAACCGTTTTAATGAAAAAACAATGAAAACTGCAAGAACTGTATTGAATTTTCAATGTTTATTCTTTTTTTTTTTTACATTTCAAATTGTAAAAGCCCTCAAACTACACATATTCAGTGAACTTAGAAATTGAAAAAAAAAGTACTAAAAATATATAATTACAGGACATTTTCTTTAAAAACAAACCAAAACATGTTTTGGTCACACACGTGTGCTGGAAAGATTCCCAGTTATTCTGAAATCTGGGAAAATAGCAGATGATTGGAGGAAACTCTTCAAAGATTTTTGTCACTGCAGGTCAGCTTTTTATTTTGACAGATTTTCTGCTCACACTTTGGTTTCTGCAAAGTAATGTCATATGGATTAAAAGGGGATATTTTGAATTTAAAAGAACACCATTTAAAAACCAGCAAACTATGCTATTGAAGACTGGATTACGCATTTAGTGCTTGATTGAACAATAAATTCTTTAAATATGACGTAGAGATCATTTATTAACAATATGTCTAATTTCTTGACGTTTGAAGACATTTTGGAGTAAGTTCACACTAGCATTCAGAAGTTTGTCATCACCCAGAACTGTAACTGCAGTGATGGCTATTGAAGATGAGGCATTGCATTTGAATGTATTTCAATAATTCTGAATCATTTCAAGCTGTAAAAGTGATTTTCAACATTAGTGAAGCATTGGATCTATTTAATTCCACCCTACTTGGATTTCTATTAAACACACACAAAAAAAAAGAGATATTTTGCATTCACTTGCAAAAATGTCCATTTCCCCAGAAACTTTAGGTTCAGTCGCAGAAGTTTTGCGTTCCTCGAGAAAGTTTGCATTTGCTGATTGATTATGAATGCAATGCAATAAATAGTTCATCTTTTTCTTTACACTTAACAAGAAACTGTGTGCGCTGTGCTCATATTCTGGGTTCATCTGTTTGCTTGTATATAGTATGCATCATCAATAAAGTGTATATATCACTATGTAGTTCATTAAAGGGATAGTTCACCCAAAACATAAGCATAAAAACACTACACCTCACTATAAACAACTTACCTTCATTAATCTTGATCACGAATCTTCTGGGTGGTCTTTGCCTTGTGCTCCTCCACACAAAAATACTGGTTCATCTTCCAGTTGTCTGGAGAAACATGGAGGATATACAACAGGTAGTCAACCAAAATGACTGTTACCAGTGCGGCGGTAAATACAAACCAGTCACATGTGAAGCTACTGAAAAAAACTACTGCAAGAGAATTTCAGTGCTGGAAATTAATTGATCCTTTGCTGAAACTTCCGCGTCTCATGGAGAGCGCAGGCCATGGTTGCTTAGCAACGGCAGACGCAAAGGGAGCGCAAGCTACAGAGCGCTTTGGAAAGAAGAAGAAAGCGGCGCAGCTAGCGTTTTCCACGTGCTTTAGGCGCGACATGTGAACGGCCCCTTAGAGAGGTGTGCATTTTACCTTAAAATAAATAAAACAATAGAAAATGCAGGCGCCAGCTTCTGGCGAGATGTGGCAATTCACTCGGCACAACCCTCACAGTGCATTATGGGTATTCTCTAGCCGCTGAGTACACCCTATAAACACTATACCGCACTATTAACAACTTACTTTTGTTACTAATGATCTCCTCCTCAGTCTTCTGGATGGTCTTTCCCTCGTGCTCCACCACACAAACATACTCGTCCTTCTTCCAGTCGTCTGGATGAATATTGAGGGTAGATGTCTTCTGGAAGGTCCCATCCTCATTTGGTAGTAACTGTCCAAGATCTACATCCTCGTCGTGCTGCTGTCCATTTCTTAACCAGGTGATAGTCACTGCTGATGGGTAAAAACCTGTGGCATGACACTCCACTGGAGAGGAGGAATCCTTCTGTAACAGAGACACTAGAGGAGACACTTCCTCTAAAAAAAAAAAGAAAGAAAAAAGATTAAAATAAATGTGAGGGAAAAACGTTTAATACTTCAAATTTATGCATAAGATCAACTCAAACATAAATGCAGCTATATTTAGTTTTAACCCATCGGTGTTTCTCATTTGGGAGTCACATTTGTGGTTTCATCATCAAAAGTGACACTTTTTTTTTACTATGTATGTATTTTTGTTCAATACAATTTTTGTATTTTATGTTTTGTATTATGAGAGAATTTTATGGTACTAATATGTATGCAATAATTTATGCCATTTACCCATTGAAAATACATAATTTCTAACATTTTTCCATTATTTTTTAATTAATGCAGTATTTTGGGTTAAAATACTAGGCGTTTAAAATCCAGTTTTACCATGAAGCTACAATTTTAAAAATTTCAAAATGTTACATTTTTCGGTTAAAAGTGAACGAAGAGCAGCAGAGGGCCAATGAAGCAATCGCACCAATGACTAATTTATTATAATAAAAAATCATCTACTTGATAAAACAAAGTGAATTTCTTAATACTTCAAATTTATGCATAAGATCAACTCAAACATAAATGCAGCTATATTTAGTTTTAACCCATCGGTGTTTCTCATTTGGGAGTCACATTTGTGGTTTCATCATCAAAAGTGACACTTTTTTTTTACTATGTATGTATTTTTGTTCAATACAATTTTTGTATTTTATGTTTTGTATTATGAGAGAATTTTATGGTACTAATATGTATGCAATAATTTATGCCATTTACCCATTGAAAATACATAATTTCTAACATTTTTCCATTATTTTTTAATTAATGCAGTATTTTGGGTTAAAATACTAGGCGTTTAAAATCCAGTTTTACCATGAAGCTACAATTTTAAAAATTTCAAAATGTTACATTTTTCGGTTAAAAGTGAACGAAGAGCAGCAGAGGGCCAATAAGCAATCGCACCAATGACTAATTTATTATAATAAAAAATCATCTACTTGATAAAACAAAAGTGAATTTCTTGAATACAAGCTACCTCTTTTCACTAAAGCCGCTTTCCCTAACATCAAGAAATATTTTATCCAGTCAACGCAGTCTTGTTCGTAGTATTGTTTCAGTAATTCAAGCTGTTCTCTGTCCTTGTTCAACTTCTGCATTGTGATTATTCCCTGCAGTACAGGTGTGACGTATCTGGGCTCCTTCATGTCTAGAAAGATGAAATCCTGTCCATCATAACCGTGCTGATCAAACCCACGAGAGTCATTAGTCTCATCATCCCAATCACATCCATACATCCTCTGATACACATGAACACCTGAGGAAAAGAGAGAGAGGGCTTACTTGTATTTTTATTGTATAAGGTCATTCTTGACGTTTAAAACTATAGTATAAAGTATTGTAACTCACCATGCGACTGATTTAATTGCTCCATTAGAACAGTAATGTTGATTTTGTTGGTCTGCTGCACTCGTTCTCTGAACTCAGTGTATTCTTTAAATCTGTCTTCAGATGCAAACTCCTTCATCCAGTCCTGTTTGGGAATCAGCTTCTTTATCTCACTGTCATAATAATCAATCTGCTGTCCATCCAGTGTAGTTACAGCAGAAATATCTGGGATTCCCTCAACCGTCTGTCCATTTATTTCAGTGTAAAGTGTGATGAAGGTGTGCCTCTCTGAACAAACAACAAGACAAACACAGTTAAACACCACATACAGTGCCATAAATCAAATTACTGTTTGAGTCGTTCAGTTTTTTCTTTTAATTTCACATCACTACTTTTGCAGTTTCATCATAAACTAGATAATGTTTGTCAAGACAAACTGTAGGTTGACTTGAGAAAGCCAAGCCTGAAAGTTTGAAGTAGTTGCTTCAAATCTTGAAGATAGATAGATAGATAGATAGATAGATTGCTAATGTATTTTAGCATGTTGTTAACATGATTTAACATTACTAGCATGTTTTGGCATGTTTCTAACATCATTTAACACACCGCTAGCATGTTTTAGCATCATTTAGCACACAGCTAACATGTTTTAACATGATTAAACACACAGCTAGTATGTTTAGATAGATTTAAAAGCTCAAAATTTGAAGGTTAAGTTTCTCAGACAGATGCAACTGTGTTCTTGCTGGTTTTGAATGGGTGCTATGGTGTTATTAGTTGGTTTCTAGGGTGCTCAAGGTGATTGCTAGGGTGTTGCTAGGGTACTCTGGATGGTTGCTAGGGTGTTACGGGTGGTTGCTAGGTTGTAGCTAGGCAGTTGCTATGGTATTCCAAGTTGTTGCTATGGTGTTATGGGTGGTTGATAGGTGGTTGCCAGGGTGTTCTGGGTGGTTACTAAACCATTGCTATGTGGTTGCTATGGTACTGTGGGTGGTTGATAAGCAATTGCTAGGGTGTTCTGAGTGGTCACTAAGGGGTTATGTGTGGTTGTTAGGGTGTTGCCATGTAGTTGCTAGGTCTTAGCATGCTTGCTAACCTGTTTCTTGCATGTTTTAACACCTCGCTAGCATGTTTATAACATGTTTGCATGTTGTGAACATGATTTAACACATTGCTAATGTATTTTAGCATGTTGTTAACATGATTTAACATTACTAGCATGTTTTGGCATGTTTCTAACATAATTTAACACACCGCTAGCATGTTTTAGCATGTTTCTAGCATCATTTAGCACACAGCTAACATGTTTTAACATGATTAAACACACCGCTAGTATGTTTAGATAGATTTAAAAGTTCAAAATTTGAAGGTTAAGTTTCTCAGACAGATGCAACTGTGTTCTTGCTGGTTTTGAATGGGTGCTATGGTGTTATTAGTTGGTTTCTAGGGTGCTCAAGGTGATTGCTAGGGTGTTGCTAGGGACCTCTGGATGGTTGCTAGGGTGTTATGGGTGGTTGCTAGGTTGTAGCTAGGCAGTTGCTAGGGTATTCCAAGTGGTTGCCAGTGTGTTCTCGGTGGTTATTAGACCATTGCTATGCGGTTGCTACGGTACTGTTGGTGGTTGATAGGCAGTTGCTAGGGTGTTTTGAGAGGTCACTAAGGAGTTATGTGTGGTTGTTAAGGTGTTTCCATGTAGTGTCTAGATCTTTGTAGTTGCTAGGTCTGCCATGTAGTGCTAGCATGTTTGCTAACCTGTTTCTTGCATGTTTTAACACCTCACTAGCATGTTTATAACATGTTTGCATGTTTATAACATGATTTAACACATTGCTAATGTATTTTAACATGTTGTTAACATGATTTAACACATTACTAGCATGTTTTGGCATGTTTCTAACATTGTTTAACAGACCGCTAGCATGATTAAATGCACCACTAGTATGTTTAGATAGATAGATAGATAGATAGATAGATAGACAGACAGACAGACAGACAGATAGACAGACAGACAGTGTGGACAGTCAATCATTTAGATCAGATTCCAATTAGATATGCACAAAAATCGGATTTGGACTGACACTCTGAACAAGGCTTTAGTCAGAAATTTTAGTCCCAGAAGAATAATAACTATAAGTTTAAATAGCATTTCAGTAGTTTTTTCACTACACTGTAAAAAGATTACTGTGAAATTTACAGTAACTTGCTGGCAGCAATTGACAAGTTGCTGTAATATATTCCACAGTATGCTGACTGTAAATTTAATCCCAGTACAGTAACTTTGAGCAGTCCTGCACACTGCGTGGATGTATAATGTTTGGCCAGTGTTCATGCAGGGAGCTGAAGCAGAGCTGAACACACACTGTCCTGCTGTCGCACGTCGACACAACTCAGGAAATATGGCTCTTATTAAAACAATGCCATTCTTAAAGTGTATTAGTGAAATGAGGAATCGCACAGTTTTTTAAAGCAGGGTATCGCAATACATTTTTAGTACCAGTATATTGTGCAACACTATATAGTACTAGACAAATAATAAAATAAAAAGTAAATAAACTTCATTATTTACAAATTAAGTAAATAAAATTAATAATAATAATAATAATAATAATAATAATAAATTGTTTTGTATATGAGAAAATTAGATTAGGGTATTTTCAGGGATATTATCGATAACTAAAAATATTAAAAACATTTATGTTAATTAAAATAAAGCTGAAATAAAACAAAATTGATAATAATTATAATATGAACATTAATTGAAAACCTGAAAATTAAAACCATTGCCTGGCAATTAACTAAGTTTACATTGAAGCACTGGAGATAAATAAAAATTTAAATAGCAATATTAAAATATACAAACAACAACAAAAAATAATAAAATCACAAAAGCACACAATTACTAAAAAATTTAACAAAAATTATCAAGAAAAAGAAACGTATAAAATAAACACTGATTCAATATATTAATAAAACTAAAGTAACACTGAGTTCAACACACGGATGTGGCTGAAGGCCTTGCTGACAGAAATCTTTCTTTTTAACAACGTGCCATCTTCTGTGGCTATATTCAAGGCGAGAGCCAAATTTAATTATTCAAAGATAAAACTAAATTAGATATTTAAGATTTTTTTTTTTGTTCTAAAAACCCTAAGACTACATTTGGATTTACTTGGTTAGCTGACAGAGAATTCAGAATTCATCCCTAATTATTAATCGTTAATCTCACCTGAGTAAACAAAAGGTACGCAGATGAAGAAAATGATGAGCTTCATTATGGACAAAAATCCATGCATTTGACCCTCAAATAAGCATAGCTGTGAAAGTGCGCTGCAAACACTCTTCAAAAACTTCACCACATCCACAGGAAGAAGTGGTTACTGAGGGAAGCTGCAGGTCTATATAAACATTTTCAGTACGGATGTTTAAGGAGGAAAGTTTTACTCACAAGTTGACCGCTTTATTCAGTAACCATTTTTTTCCAGACAGACATTCGATCATTTCTGTTAACACTTTATTTTGATACCCCACTTTAGACATTCTACTGACAGGTAGATCTAACACTAATATTCAGATAGAGAAATACTGCAGAAATGTAATGAAGTAATCAAATGTAAAATAACACTGGATAGTCTTCACTGTATAAATAAATACAGACAAGACCTTACAGTTAAAGTTTCAAAAAGTTTAGTCAAGAGCAGTGAGTGACTTGCTCTTTGACTAACATTAATGACACAGGCAGCAGCAGGTTCATTTGGCTGCTGTCACTTTAAGACCTAATGCACATATCTAATATACTGTTACACAAGTGGTTTCCTTCTCAACTGTTTACACTCATTTAAGACATAACCGACTGCGTTTGTAGGAATACTGACCATGATGGGCGTTTTGACAATTTTGTGTGTATTAGAAACTTTACGTGCAAGACGCCGTGAAAAAGAACTCAGTTCAGTAGTCGCGAGCTGTCTGCGAAGCGGTTTCATGTGTGCACGCTTTGGGTGTGTAGATGCAGTAGACCGCACATATTCTCACAGAAACTGATATATGAAGTTACAGTCTCTGTGAGCTCGTTTCCCAAAAGCAACTTCCGACCATAGTTATCTAACGATGCTTTTGGGAAACACACCCCAGATCGGTGGCTGCAGCTTCAAAAACACTCCAGTCAGTGCAGTCGAAGCAGGCTTGTAAATCCCACTCTGCTTCATTAGTCCATCTCTTTACAGTCCTTAGTACAGGTTTAGCTGATTTCAGCTTCTGCCTGTAGGTCAGTATAAGATGAACCAGGCAGTGATCAGAGAGGCCCAAAGCTGCCCGTGGGACAGAGTGATATGCATCCTTTATTGTGGTGTAACAGTGATCCAATATATTGCTGTCTCTGGTGGGACATTTTTTGCCAGTCAAACCAAAAATACTTACTTGAAGTTAATATTTCAATAATTTAACATTACATTTGCTTGCTCTCTGATGTCAGTTAATGGTCATACATTTTTTTCTTCTTATAACATTAATCACATTTCAATTAATCCCAAATCTATAAACAAATGATGTCAAAAGTAATCCAAAAGTGGTCAGAATACATTACCTAAAATGAGTAATCTTGACTATGATTTTTAAGTAATTTACCCAGCACTCTTTAAAGGCCATTTTCTTTTGAAATATTTACAAATGGAAAGACAAGATCACACACAGTAACACATCTGAGGCAGCTGCTATTAGCATGAGTTTCATATACAGACAGTATCTGGTTTGCATTTGCACCTTCATATCCAGTGTGGTTGGACAGACCCAACGTCACACATACTGTATGTTAGAAAGTGTTTCTTCTCATTCCTTCATGTCATATCTTGCCCAAGGCACCAAGTGAGCAAAAACTACAACTGATGCAGGTTTGTGACGTCCTCGTGGAAATTATTTAACACTGAAACCGGTTTTGGTCCTGAAGAATCCCAACTGGACTGAAATCTGAGGCCCGTACAGATGAACGGAGGAAACTCTTCAAAGATTTTGATCTGCTTTTCGTTCGGACCGACTGCCAGCTGTTACTTCACGGCTGCAAAGTAATGTCGTACATATTCGTTGAGATTTTTAATTCTGCTTGTGTAAATTCTGAGAACATTCCCATCATCCTACAGCTATTGAAGCTGTTCACGGAAAAACTGTAAAAGTACTTACTTGTATACAGTGGATCGAAAGACAAATATACAGGAATAAGGAAACTCCCGCCACAGACAGAAATATTTTTTTGAAGAATGCTTTTGTAAGTCCTTAAAAACACAAAAATTATACTTAAAAAGACATACAATAATATACAGAAACAGCAATATAGGTCTGAAAAAAGTAAATGCAATGAATGATTTCGGTCTGTTCCTCAAACAAATCTATCATTTGACTTAAAAAGACTTGAAATACAGTGCACAAGTCATATTGACAAATTGAATAATACTTATTCTTGTCTTTTTCCAAGCTTGACGAACTTAGTCACTTTTATTATACAGTATGACAGAAGAAGAACTTCACAATATACCGCACTATTAATAACTCACTGTTGTTACTCTTGATCTCGTCCTCTCTCAGAATCTTCCGGATGGTCCCTGTCTCGTGCTCCACCACACAAACATACTGGTGCTTCTTCCAGTCGTCTTGAGGAACATTGAGGATAGATGTCTTCTGGAAGGTCCCATCCTCATTTGGCAGTAGCTCTCCAAGATCCATGTCCTCATCATGATCTTCTCCATTTTTTAACCAGGTGATAGTCACTGCTGATGGGTAGAAACCTGTGGCATGACACACTACTGGAGAGGAGGAACTCCACTGTAACAGAGACACTACAGCAGCTACAAAAAATTGAGAAAAAAAGTGATGAAAATACTTCCAATTTATGCAATAGATCAACTTAAACATAAACACAGCTACATTTTGTTTGAACCCTTCAGTGCTCCTCAAATGACACCTGAAATGTAACAGAATGTAACAGAAAAAAAAGTAACATTTTTGTTCAAATTTTTTTTTTTTTGAGAGAATTTTATGGTACTAATTAATATTTATACAATAACTTATGCAATTTATGTAAATAATTTCCCCCACAAATATTTGTAATTTCTTTTTTAATTAATGCAGTATTTCAGGTTAAAATAGAGACTAGGCCTTAAAAATGCAGTTTTCTCATGAAGCTATGATTTTTTACAAAACATTTTTTGTAAACAAAATTTCTCAGTTAAAATTAACCAAAGTGCACCAGAGGGTTAATGAGGCAAAAAAAAAAAAATAGACAAACCATTTTGTTTGAACCCTTCAGTGCTCCTCAAATGACACCTGAAATGTAACAGAATGTAACAGAAAAAAAAGTAACATTTTTGTTCAAATTTTTTTTTTTTTGAGAGAATTTTATGGTACTAATTAATATTTATACAATAACTTATGCAATTTTTTCCATTGTAAATAATTTTCCCCACAAATATTTGTAATTTATTTTTTAATTAATGCAGTATTTCAGGTTAAAATAGAGACTAGGCCTTAAAAATGCAGTTTTCTCATGAAGCTATGATTTTTTACAAAACATTTTTTGTAAACAAAATGTCTCAGGTAAAATTAACCAAAGTGCACCAGAGGGTTAATGAGGCAAAAAAAAAAAATAGACAAACACCAATGACTTATTTATTATAGGATAGAGTGGGGGGAAATGCCTCCCTAACCACTAGATAAAGTCAAGATACATTTTTGTTGCAACTATGGACTGTGTTGACAAGAGTGACGTAGAAGGATTCACCATGAAGCTCACACTGCTGATGAACCTGAGAGGAAACAGATTTCACAGGAAGTGATCTAATTTTCAGCAGTAAAAAAAAGTGTTTTAAAGCTTGTTGTTTTGTAGAAACGATTCCTTTTTTTTTTGTGTGACGATTCATTGTTACTTTCCAAAATGTGCTTGAAGACACAAATACACAATTTACACACACACATAAATTACTGTAGTTATGCTGTTCTGAACATCAAATCCTTTGTTTTTCAATCAAATGTATTCTAACTAGTTGGTTGAATAAAAATATTTGGACTTTATATTTAAAAATAACCTTAAGTTAGCATCAGGTAACAATATTTTTCAAATAGGCTATTATAATTTTGTAATTCATAATTATTGATTATATTCTTTAAAATTTTAAGCTAAAACTGCCTGTACTCTGATTTTGCTGTAAATGTATAAAGCAAATTGCTTTTGTCAGACCGAGGGAATTTGTCCCCACCTTGGTACAAATAAAATTTTTGTTAAAAATCTAATCAGATGAAAACTCATGCTTGGTTTATAATTTATGTCATTGTCACTAAAACTGAGATGACTATTCTGGACACATTTAACTAAATAAACAGAAAAATGATACAGTCCTTAAGGTGGGTGGGGGGGGGATCTGCCCTAATCAAAAATAATCTACTTGTTGAACAAAGTGAATTTCTTGAAGACGAGCTACCTCTTCTCTCTAAACCCGCTTTCCTTGACGTCAAGAAATATTTTAACCACTCAACACATTCGTATTCGTAGTATTGTTTCAGTAATTCAAGTTGTTCTCTGTCGTTGTTCCACTTCTGCATTGTGATTATTCCCTGCAGTACAGGTGTGACGTATCTGAACTCCTTCATGTCTAGAAAGATGAAATCCTGTCCATCATAACCGTGCTGATCAAACCCACGTGATTCTCCAGTCTCATCATCCCAATCACATCCATACATCCTCTGATACACATGAACACCTGAGGAAAAGAGAGAGAGGGCTTACTTGTATTTTTATTGTATAAGGTCATTCTTGACGTTTAAAACTATAGTATAAAGTATTGTAACTCACCATGTGACTGATTGAATCGCTCCATTATAAAACGAATGTTGATTTTGTTGGTCTGCTGCACTCGTTCTCTGAACTCAGTGTATTCTTTAAATCTGTCTTCAGATGCAAACTCCTTCATCCAGTCCTGTTTGGGAATCAGCTTCTTTATCTCACTGTCATAATAATCAATCTGCTGTCCATCCAGTGTAGTTACAGCAGAAATATCTGGGAATCCTGCAACCGTCTGTCCATTTATTTCAGTGTAAAGTGTGATGAAGGTGTGCCTCTCTGAACAAACAAGACGACATAAAGCTCTCAAACACCACACTAAAATTACTGTTTGCATGTTTCAGCATTTTCTTTTCACTTCATCAATACTTTTGCAGTTTCATCATAAATTAGGCATCACTGGAAAGGTTTAAACTTAAAACTCATCCTGTGAAAACATTGTGTTACATTATA